CTCGTGATCCACCCGCCTCGGCCTCCCAAAGTGCTGGGATTACAGGCCTGAGCCACCGCGCCCGGCCAACAAATTATTTTAAGTAATAATTTTCCCACTTACATACTGTTTTAGCAAATGTTTTCCATTAGCAAAGTCATTCATTGTTGACAATTTAGAAAATACAAGTAAAAGAAAAGAGAAAGAATGAAAAAAAGGAAGAAAGACCTAGAGACATCCATAACTCCATCTCCCAAAGATAACTACTGTTAATATTTTGGTGGCATATCCCTTATATCCCTTAGGTATACTTTTTTTCCAAAACTGGCATCAACTGAATACCATGTTTTGTAAACGATTTTTTTACTTAAATTGCAAACCTTGTTCTAGGGTGTAATAAGTGGCGTGGTATTCCACTATGTGGATTTAACCAGTTGCTGCTTTCCTATTTCAGTTTTTTCCAGTATTCTACACAAAGCTACAGAAAACATTCTCATTGCTAAACCTTTGCCCATTGCCGTAGTATTTTCTTTATAATAAAATAGTAGAAGGTATCACAGAGTGATTAGTTTAAGCCTTTTACTATCTACTCAGAACTGCCCTCCGGAAATGTTGTACCAACTTTTCTTACTGTTTGTTTGTTCTTGATGTTGTTGTTTTAAGATGGGGTCTCGCTCTGTCACCCAGGCTGGAGTGCAATGGCATGATATCAGCTCACTGCAGCCTTTGCCTTCTGGGCTCAAGTGATCCTCCCACCTTAGCCTCCTGAATATCTGACAGTACAGGCGCATGCCACCACATCTGGCTAATTTTTGTATTTTTTGTAGAGATGGGGTTTTACCCTGTTTCCCAGGCTGGTCTCAAACTCCTGAGCTCAACCGATTCACCTGCATCAGCCTCCTGAAGTGCTGGGATTACAGGCATGATTTAGTGTGCCTGACTAGTTTGTTGTTTTCTAATTTTAGATTCAGGGGATACGTGCAGGTTTGTTAGATGGGTATATTGTGTATATGCTGAGGTTTGAGCTTCTAATGAACTCATCACCAAATAGTACCCCATAGATAGCTTTTCAGTCCTTGTCCCCCTCCCCCACAATATTGTTATGAATCAGAAATGTACAGTGGAAACCTCTTATAAGATGGAAGTTAGATTCTAAAGTCAGTGTGAGAGGTAAAAATTGTGGTCAAAGCTATCCGCCCAAAGTTCTGAAGTTTCCAGTGAGGTAAAGCATACTGTTTTTTATATTACAGTTTTTCCTTTAGCCTTGGAACAAATTGCAGCTTCTTAATTTGATCACCAGCTGAATCAGTTATCTTGTAATTAATTATCATGTTACGAAAAACGAGTTTTGGAATTTTTATTTATTTTATTTATTTATTATTATTATTTTTTAAGAGGGGGTTTCACCATGTTGGTCAGGCTGGTCTTGAACTCCCGACCTCAGGTGATCCGCCCACCTTGGCCTCCAAAGTACCTGGATTACCAGCAAGAGCCACCACACCTGGCCGTGGAATTTTTTTTTGAGACGGAGTTTCACTCTTGTTACCCAGGCTGGAGTACAATGGCGCGATCTCGGCTCACCGCAACCTCCGCCTCCTGGGTTCAGGCAATTCTCCTGCCTCAACCTCCTGAGTAGCTGAGATTACGGGCACGCGCCACCATGCCCAGCTAATGTTTTTTTTTCTTTTTTTACCCAGGCTGGAGTGCAATGGCACAATCTTGGCTCACCACAGCCTCCGCCTCCTGGGTTCAGGCAATTCTCCTGCCTCAGCCTCCTGAGTGGCTGGGATTACAGGCACGTGCCACCATGCCCAGCTGATTTTTTGTATTTTTAGTAGAGACGGGGTTTCACCATGTTGACCAGGATGGTCTCGATCTCTTGACCTCGTGATCCACCCGTCTCGGCCTCCCAAAGTGCTGGGATTATAGGCGTGAGCCACAGCGCCCGGCCCTAGCTAATGTTTTTTGTATTTTTTTAGTAGAGACGGGGTTTCACCATGTTGACCAGGATGGTCTCGATCTCTTGACCTCGTGATCCACCCGCCTCGGCCTCCCAAAGTGCTGGGATTACAGGCTTGAGCCACCACACCCGGCCCTGGCTGTGGAATTCTTTCAGTCAAGCTTATTTTGCTGAATCCTCTTGTAAAATACTGTCCACCTGCTAACCACAGCTTCTGATGAGCATGAATAACAAGTTGTAACCCTGCTGAACTGCCATAAGTCTAGCCAATAGCAGAGATATTAACTTGTTTATTTCATTCATTCTTTTTTTTTTTTTTTCATTCAACAAATATTGTTACCTATAACAGTAGGTGCCAGGCATCATAGGTTTAAAATGCTTGGGCAGCTTAATCAAGATGAATATTATAATTTTCCACGAGGTTTTTAGAGCCTGACCCTGTTCTCAGCACCCCATCCCCACCTGCTGGAGGGCATTCTAAACTGGTCTATATAGTGACCCTCACTTGGTCCCAGGCAAGGCAAGGCTATCTGTTGTAATCCTGCCCATGTTTCCAACCTGTTGTACAAAGTATTCTATTTCCTGAGCAATGATGATGATGAAATTGTAATATTACAGTGCTGCTGTTTATTAGGTGTATGCTGTGTGCCAGGCATTGTCCATGCCCTATCTTTTAATCTTCATGGTAACGCTATGAAGGATGTGTACTTTTTTTTTTTTCTTTTTTGAGACAGAGTGTTGCTCTGTCGCCCAAGCTTGAGTGCAATGGCGTGATCTTGGCTCACCGCAACCTCCGCCTCCTGGGTTCAAGCAATTCTCTTGCCTCCGCCTCCTGAGTAGCTGGGACTACAGGCACCTGCCACCATGCCCAGCTAATTTTTTGTATTTTAGTACAGACAGGATTTCACTATATTGGCCAGGCTGGTCTTGAACTCCTGACCTCATGATCTGCCCACCTTGGCCTCCCAAAGTGCTGGGATTACAGGCGTGAGCCGCTGCGCCCAGCCACTGACGACGGATGTATACTTACCTGAAGTTTACAGATAAGGAAACTGAGGCTCAGAGAGGGTTGTGGTCTCATGATTAGCAAGTGGTAGAGCTAGGATTCAAATTCATGTCTAACTCCAAAGCTAGTACCCTTCCCATCACCCTACCCATAGGCCTTCTTCCCCACTGATACATCTATGGCATGGACCTTCTCTGGCCAAGTTTTGACCAGCCTGACAGGGCTTGAAATTTTGGTGAAACAGCCAATCAAAGATCTCTGCTCTGATCTACACAGGCCTACCATGGCTCTGTTCTGCAGCCCCACTTGGGGGATGGGGGACCCTTGCTTCCTCCCTCTCCTTCTCCAGCCCCAGAGATGGGTGAAGGGTCGTGAGCACTTTCCTGGTCCCCCAACACACGGTACACTTCTGCCCCAATGTTTTACCCCTATACCCCAGATTGCAGCCTGTTCCCGGAGCACTTGCTTCCTCTGCCCATTCTCTATACAGACGGAAGGCTCCTCAGGAGCAACGGAGAAGATGAAGAAGGGGTTGTCTGACTTCCTAGGGGTGATCTCAGACACCTTTGCCCCCTCGCCAGACAAAACCATCGACTGTGATGTCATCACCCTGATGGGCACACCGTCTGGCACAGCTGAGCCCTATGATGGCACCAAGGTATTCACTGACAGCCTCCCCTACAGATGCCTAACATCTGTAACCTGGGCTTGAACTTCCAGTTGGTACTCACAAAAGCAGCCCATGTTCAGGCCAAAAAATAAATACGGGTATATTATTCATAGTAAATCAGAAAATACCGATAAGCAAGGACAAGATAATTATTTTTAAACTCATAATTGCATCACCCGAAGAGAACTCCTGATTTCTTAATTGGTATATAACCTTACATTTGTTTTTGTTTGTAAACACAGGTAAGGATAGTTTCTTGTTTTTTTTTTTAACAAAATACATTTTATATATGCAGTTTTGTAACCTACTTTTAAAAAGCCAATAAACTAGCATCTTTTTTTTTTTTTTTTTTTTTTGAGACAGAGTCTTGCTGTGTCACCAGGCGCGAGGCTAGAGTGCAGTGGCGCGATCTCGGCTCACTACAACCTCTGCCTCCCAGGTTCAAGCAATTCTCCTGCCTCAGCCTCCTGAGTAGCTGGGACTACAGGCGTGTACCACCACGCCCAGCCAATTTTTGTATTTTTTTTAGTAGAGAAGGGGTTTCACCATGTTGGCCAGGATGGTTTCGATCTCTTGACCTTGTGATCCGTCTGCCTCAGCCTCCCAGAGTGCTGGGATTACAGGCGTGAGCTACCATGCCCGGCCGTCTTTCTTAATCATCATCTTTTTTTTTTTTTTTTTTTTTTAAATAGGGTCTCAATCTATCACCCAAGCTCTCTCTGGGGCTCAGTGGGACAATCCCGGCTCATTGTAGCCTCAACTTTCCAGGCTCAAGGGTCCTTCCACCTCAGTCTCCTGAGTAGCTGTGACTACTGGTGTGAACCACCACACCCAACTAATTCTTAAACATTTTTTCAGTAGAAACAGGGTTTCACTGTGTTGCCCAGGCTGGTCTCAAATGCCTGGGCCCAAGTGACCCTTCCACCTTGGTCTCCCAAAGTACTGGGATTACAGGCGTGAGCCACTGCACCTGGCCTTAATGTCTCTCAATTCTTACAAGTAAATATAGCATTATTTATTCCGTTACTTCCTTCATGTTACATATTTGGATTCCTTTTGGCTTTCAAGCATAATAAGGAACACTATGGAGAGCATTTTTAGAGGCATAATCTTTTCCACGTTTGTGTTACTTAGAGTAATTTCCAGTAATAAATGTATAGGTAAGGGGAGAGGGGTGTCTTCAGAGCACTTAAAGCAACAGCCACAGTAGCATATTTTTGCTGCTTTTTTTTCCTCCTTTTTTTTTTTTTTTTTTTGAGACAGAGTTTCACTTTTGTTACCCAGGCTGGAGTGCAATGGCGCAATCTCGGCTCACCGCAACCTCCGCCTCCTGGGTTCAGGCAATTCTCCTGCCTCAGCCTCCTGAGTAGCTGGGATTACAGGCACGCGCCACCATGCCCAGCTAATTTTTTGTATTTTTAGTAGAGACGGGGTTTCACCATGTTGACCAGGATGGTCTCGATCTCTTGACCTCGTGATCCACCCGCCTCGGCCTCCCAAAGTGCTGGGATTACAGGCGTGAGCCACCGTGCCCGGCCTTTTTCCTCCTTTTTTATTTTATTTTATTTTTTATTTTATTTGAGACAAGATCTGACTACTTAGACTGGAGTGCAGTGGCATGATCCCAGCTCACTGCAGCCTCAACCTCCTGGGCTCAAATGTTCCTCCTGCCTCAACCTCCTTAGTATTCCTAGTAGTGGGGACCACAGGTGTGCACCACCATGCCTGCCTGGCTTTTTTTTTTCCTTGTAGAGACAAGGTCTCCCTACGCTGCCCAGGCTGGTCTCAAACCCTTGGGCTCAAGTGATCCTCCTATCTCAGCCTCCTAAAGTGCTGGGATTATAGGCTTAAGGTACTGCACCTGGCCACATTGTATTTTCTATTTCACGGAGTGTTTTCTTCTAAATTCACAATATAATGTCATGGCAGTTGGGCCCTCTTTGTAGCTCTGGTTTTTTTTGTTTTGTTTTTCATTTTTGTTTTCAAGATAAGGTCTCACTCTGTCCTCCAGGCTGGAGTGCAGTGGTGTGATCACAGCTCACAGCAGCCTCCATCTCCTGGGCTCAGGTGCTCCACCCACCTCAGCCTCCTGAGTAGCTGGGACTATTAGGCATACATCACCATGCCCAGCTAATTTTTGTACTTGTTGTAGAAACAGGATTTCCCCATGTTGCCTAGGTTGGCTTCATAGCATTTTATCACACTGAACTTCTTTTTTTGTTTGTTTTTGTTGTTGTTGAGATAGTCTCGCTGTGTCACCCAGGCTGGAGTGCAGTGGAGCGATCTTGGCTCACTGCAACCTCCACCTCCTGGGTTCAGGCGATTCTCCTGCCTCAGCCTCCCGAGTAGCTGGAATTACAGGTGCATACCACCATGCATGGCTAATTTTTCTATTTTTAGTAGAGACTGGGTTTCACCATGTTGGCCAGGCTGGTTTTGAACTCCTGACCTGAAGCGATCCACCCAACTCGGCCTCCCAAAGTACTGGGATTACAGGCATGAGCCATGGCACCCAGCCCACATTGAACTTCTGTTCCAAAAGTACTGATTTTTCAAGTATGTCTCTTAGCACTAGGATTAGGGCCACCACTTAGTGAACATGTGAGTGGAACTGTGAAAATGTTTAATAGATAAGATTTTGAGTTATAACGACAGTCAGTTATCACCAAAACCACTTACAGACAGTCCATGCTTCCTGCAATACTGAGGAAGGACGGTGGACTTCGTCTTTACCAGCTAAGTTTGCCAACTTGTGGTTCTAGTGGGAATGTAACTTGGTAGACTGGCTATACAATTTAAAAATTCTTGAAGGGTTTTAATGTGAGGGGAATTGCGTTACTTTAAAATTTTTCCCTAAATTTTGACTTTATTAATATATTGGTACTAACATTTTTCGAATTTCACTTACTAAAAAGCATTTTTTTTTTTTTTTTTGAGATGGAGTCTTGCACTGTCGACCAGGCTGTAGTGCAGTGGCGCAATCTCGGCTCACTGCAATTTCTGCCTTCTGTGTTCAAACAATTCTCCTGCCTCAGCCTCCTGAGTAGCTGGGACTACAGGCGTGCACCACCACGCCCAGCTAATTTTATTGTATTTTTAGTAGAGACAGGGTTTCACTGTGTTGGCCAGGATGGTTGATCTCCCAACCTTGTGATCTACGCGTCTTGGCCTCCCAAAGTAAAAAGCATTTTATGCCAATAATTTTGTAGCCTGCTTATGCAGTATACAGTTACTAAGAAAATACATCTTAGTTCCTGGGGTGGAATACTGGGCAAAAGGCCATTTTTCTGGGAACCCCAGTAACCCCAGTTTTGGATGCCTCGCCTAGCACTCCACTGTGTGCCACAGTGCTATAGTTAACAAGTGCGCTGTGGGTATCCGAGCCTACAGGGGAGAAGCTGGGTTGTGGTTGACTGAGTATCCTGGCAGAGAAAGGGTGCTTTCTATGTCCAGCACTTCAGAATTTGTTTCCTCTTCTCCGTTTCTTACAGGCTCGCCTTTATAGCCTGCAGTCGGACCCAGCCACCTACTGCAATGAACCAGATGGTGAGAGGGTAGCAGTAAGGGATGGGCTTCTAGGGCAAGTAGACTAAGGGGGTCTGGGTCATGGGCCCTGTTAGTCTCAGCAGAGGCTGGGCACCCCCTATGTAGAGGGACCAGAGTGAGAGTGGTGTATAACTTATACTGTGTGGGTGGGTTGATGTTCTCATTTCTTTCCTGAACATGAGCTGTCCTTGCCCACCTGCAGGGACTTGGCCCCTCTCAGCCCTCATCCTCAGCTCAGCCTCCCTCCCAGCCCTGCTGCCCCACCTGCCTTCTCTTCAGCTCCTGTTGGCTAAGCCCCTGTCATGCAGCAAACCCCATGATGGCAACTGGAGATCAGAAATGAGCCAAACCCTCCACCTAGTCCAGCCCTCCAGGAACTGGCCGTTAAGAGGGAGAAAGCAGAAACCATGAATAAAGCAGAGATACTAGAGAGCAGCATCCACATGACTGCTTCCACAGAGCAACAGGGCAGCGGGAGCCCAGAGGAATGGCACCCTTCCTGGCCTGGGAACCTAGCAAGTGATGCTGGAGTTGAGTTTTTTTTTTTTTTTTTTTTTTTTTTGTCTCCCAAGCTGGAGTGCAATGGTGGGATCTCAGCTCACTGCAACCTCTGCCTCCCAGGTTCTAGCAATTCTCCTGCCTCAGCCTCCCAAGTAGCTGGGCTTACAGTCGCCTGCCACCATGTCTGGCTAATTTTTGTATTTTTAGTAGAGACAGGGTTTCACCATATTGGTCAGGCTGGTCTCAAACTCCTAACCTCAGGTGATCTACCCACCTTGGCCTCCCAAAGTGCTGGGATTACAGGTGTGAGCTGCTGCACCTGGCTGGAGTTGGGGTTTTAAGGGTAAATTAGAAGTCAACTAGTTTCACTATGAGAAGTGGGGAAGGGCATTCAAGCAAAGAGAGCGGGGAGCACCCCGCCTTTTGGTAACACCAGGTTAAAGGGTACGTATGAGGAACTGAAGGCAGTGAGACCGGCTCGTGGGAGCCAGATTGTGAAGGGCTTTGTGTGGCAGACCAGGCAGTTGGAATTTTGGCCTAAAAGGCTCATGGTAGTAGCTCTAGACCTCTCTTTAGTCACAAAGGCCTTTAAAAATCGATTGAAAATGACAAGCCCTCTCTCCACAAAACTTTTTGTGCAGTATGGGAATTCTTTGACCCTTTGAAGCCCATCTTGGACTCCAGCTTAAAAAGCCCTCCCATAGAGAACTATTGAAAGGTTTTTTTTTTTTTTTGAGACAGAGTTTCGCTCTTGTTACCCAGGCTGGAGTGCAATGGCGCGATCTCGGCTCACCGCAACCTCCGCCTCCTGGGTTCAGGCAATTCTCCTGCCTCAGCCTCCTGAGTAGCTGGGATTACAGGCACGCGCCACCATGCCCAGCCAATTTTTTGTAGTCCTAGTAGAGACGGGGTTTCACCATGCTGACCAGGATGGTCTCGATCTCTTGAGCTCGTGATCCACCCGCCTCGGCCTCCCAAAGTGCTGGGATTACAGGCGTGAGCCACCGCGCCTGGCCCTATTGAAAGGTTTTGAGGCCTGGGGTGATCAGAGTTTGCAGTTTAAAGCAGCCCATGGGGCAGCATTGTGAAGAATGAAACAGAGAGGGAGAGACAGCAGACAGGAAGACAAGTTAGGAGGCTCGGTAGGAATCCTGTGTCAGGGGTAAGGCCAGAATGTAGGAAGAGTCAGGTGGCACGAAGAGGACACTGTGCTTGTAAAAGACACAAGTTAGCTACGCGTGATGGCGTGCCTGTAGCCGCAGCTATTCAGAAGGTTGAGGCAGGAGGATCGCTTGGACCCAGAAGTTCAAGGTTGCAGTGAGCCAAGGCTGCACCACTGCACTGTAGCCTGGGTGACAGAACAAGACTCTGTCTCTAAAAAATGAGACACTGAGGAAGTGTGATCGAGAGTGATTGGATAAGGGAGGAGACAGGATGGCCCCAGGTTGGATAACCCTGTCGGATAGCCAAGTGGGAAGGAAAATTAGTGTACGGTGTATTTGCAGGTAGAAGTATCGGGGGTACCTGGATCTCTGGATCTAGGGCCCAGATAGCCTGGGATGCAAAGAGAGACACAGGAATTATCAGTGGGAGGATGAGGTTGAAACTTGTAGTTTAGTGGCAATTATTTTGGGGAAAAAAAAGCCAGAGAGATATGGAAAGGAAAGGAAAATGAGAAGCCCACGGAGACTCAGATGGACCGAACAGAGAAGTGGAGGAAAATAACAAAGGAGTGAGAAGCCAGGAGAGGGCTTCAAGAGAAAGGCAGTGGTCCCCAGGGTCAGAGGTGGTCACGTGAGGGAAAACAGAAATCAGTGTTGGCTCAGGCAGCTGGGGTCATGTGTCCTGAGAGGAGGAGATTCAGTAGCCAGGTGCCATGGGCTAAAAAGCAAGCAGGGATATGAGAAAATGGAGATTGCAGCCCCTTCTGGAGATCAGTCAGGTACCACACCCACCCCTTCACCCTGCCTGACCCCCTACCCTGGGCTAAGTGCCTTTGAACACACGGGCTTTCTTCATTTTCCATGTCCAGCCTTAGGTATTTTATCTAAGCCAAGGGTTCTTTCTCCAGACCAAGGGAACTGACTCTCAGTGTCTGTCCCTCTGCAGGGCCCCCAGAATTGTTTGAAGCCTGGCTTTCCCAGTTCTGCTTGGAGGAGAAGAAGGGGGAGATCTCAGAGCTCCTTGTAGGCAGCCCCTCTATCCGGGCACTCTACACCAAGATGGTGAGGGTCCAGCCTGCAGGGCCCCAGCCAGCTCCAGGCTTGAGGTGTTGGGAGGTGGGAGGGACATGTTCACAGTCACTGTGGAGCCATCTAGCCCAGAGGGCACTGGGAGGCTCCTTAGACCCAGACCAGCCACGTCCTAAGCCAAGAACCCACATGGGAGAAGCTGGTTTGCCAGGCTTGTGGCAATCAGAGAATGATGAGAATTGGAAGGGCCAGCGAAGCCTGATAGGAGTGGTTTTCTCCCTCCTTGGCCAACCTGGACTAGAAAACGGGGTCTGGCCAAAACTTTGGTGGGGGTGGAAGTGCTCTATCACTGCTAAGCCACTTAATGGGTCTGAAATCCATACTGGATGGGAACAAACTGGTAAGGCTGGGGACACAGACCCCACACAAACACTCCCAAAGTCTCACCTCCATTTTCCCTTCCCTCCAGGTTCCAGCAGCTGTTTCCCACTCGGAATTCTGGCATCGATATTTCTATAAAGTCCATCAGCTAGAGCAGGTATACTGGTCTAGCCTGGGGAGGTCCCCTCTCAACCCTAGGGGAAGCAGGCTGGATTTATTGAGAGAAGAAAGGGATACAGGGTGCCAAGAGTTCTGGGATCAGGACCAGGGTCTGGGAAGAGGGTGCCCTGACTGCCTCTGGCCATCTGCTCCCCCACACTCAGGAGCAGGCCCGGAGGGATGTCCTGAAGCAGCGGGCAGAACAGAGCATCTCTGAAGAGCCTGGCTGGGAGGAGGAGGATGGTAAGAGGTGTTGAGAGGTGAGGGGCAAGTGACACGTCTTGTCTGCGGGGCACTCTGGACTGGGCCATGCTCTCTGAAGCCTGGAGAGACTTGGTGCCCATCAGGGAAGAGTAGGGAATGAGCACATTTTATGTGCTGAGGATAGGCGGAGCTAACAAGGGGATGTTGAACAAGGCTAGTGGAATTCTGATTTAGGTACAAAAATCACACATGTCAGTCAGTGCAGATTCCCCTGTCAGCCCATGAACCAGCTGCCGCTTAGTCACTGGTGAGCTTCTTGAAAATCCAGTTTCCCTTCCCCACCTTGTAAAGAAGACTGTTAAGATGCAGCCAGACATGTATTCTAAACAAGCTCCCTGGTAATATTAATGCCCAGGCTGGTTTGGGAACCACTGGGTTAGGAAGGGAGCTGAGCATCCTCTACCTGTAGCTCAGCTTAGAACAGCATGTTGCAACCTCCTGGATGACATACTATTAATGCATTTCTTAAGTGTTTATACCGTATGTCCAGGCTGCACTAAGAGCTTTACATAGAGTCCTTACCACAACGCCATTACCCCTCTTAAGGATAAAAGTAAGTTAAAAGGTAAGTTAAAAGTTAGGTGGCTTACCCAATGTAGCAGACAGCAGAACCCAAACTAGGATGTAGCAGAACCCAACCTGAACCCAAAACTGACTCACTTTCCAGCCATGGCTTTTTAATCGATAACAGCCCCTTGGACTGCATTGCTGGAAGCCCACCAGACATTAGGCCCAATGGCTAAGCAGGACTTTGACTAGCAGGGAGTGTCCACAGAAGCATTGTGATGGCAAAGGGGTGAGCTAAATGACACTATTGAGTCTTTTTTATCATTTTGAGACGGAGTCTTGCTCCATTGCCCAGGCTGGCGTGCAGTGGCGCAATCTCTGCTCACTGCAACCTCTGCCTCCTAGGTTCAAGCGATTCTCCTGCCTCAGCCTCCCAAGTAGCTGGGATTACAGGCATGTGTCACCACACTCAGCTAATATTTTCTGTATTTTTATTAGAGTTGGGGTTTCACCATATTGGCCAGGCTGGTCTCAAAAGCTCCTGACCTCAGGTGATCCACCTGCCTCGGCCTCCCAAAGTGCTAGGATTACAGGTATGAGCCACCATGCCTGGCTTGAGTCTTGATCAGAGTAAACTTTGGTGGGAACCTGAGAGCTTCAAGGTTGTCTTAGGGCTGGCCGGGGTACATTTCCCTCCTGCCCCTCCCTTTCTTTCTCCTCAGAGGAGCTCATGGGCATTTCACCCGCATCTCCAAAAGAAGGAAAGGTTCCTGTGGCCAAAACTTCTACATTCTCTGAAGGCGGACCTGGCCCCCAGAACCCTTGTGAAGAGAATCTGGTGACCTCAGTTGAACCCCCAGCAGAGGTGACTCCATCAGAGAGCAGTGAGAGCATCTCCCTTGTGACACAGATCGCCAACCCTGCTGCTGCACCTGAGGCACCAGTGCTGCCCAAGGACCTGTCCCAAAAGCTGCTAGAGGCATCTTTGGAGGAACAGGGCCTGGCTGTGGATGTGGGCGAGACTGGACCCCCACCCCCTGTTCACTCCAAGCCTCTAACACCTGCTGGCCACCCCAGCGGCCTAGAGCCCAGACCTCCAGCCAGAGTAGAGACTCTGAGGGAGGAGGCACCCACAGACTTACGGGTGTTTGAGCTGAACTCAGACAGTGGGAAGTCTACACCCTCCAACAATGGAAAGAAAGGTAGGTTTGGAAGCCCAGGCCCAGACGGTTGTGCGGGTCAGTGCCACTTCCCAAGGCAGATTTGTCTCTTGTCCCTTGTTAGAATACTGTGAGCAGATTTTTTTCATTTCTGATGATGATGATGACAGCTGCCATATATTGACTGTTTGCTAACATATTTCATTAATTCTAAGTGGCACATAATCTCTGAAATAAGAATGCATCTTAAAATTGTTGGCACCTGGCCGGGTACGGTGGCTCAAGCCTGTAATCCCAGCACTTTGGGAGGCCGAGGCGGGTGGATCACGAGGTCAAGAGATCAAGACCATCCTGGTCAGCATGGTGAAACCCCGTCTCTACTAAAAATACAAAAAATTAGCTGCGCATGGTGGTGTGTGCTTGTAATCCCAGCTACTCAGGAGGCTGAGGCAGGAGAATTGCCTGAACCCAGGAGGTGGAGGTTGCGGTGAGCCGAGATTGTGCCATTGCACTCCAGCCTGGGTAAAAAGGGCGAACCTCCGTCTCAAAAAAAAAAAAAAAAAAAAAAATTGTTGGCACCTTAAGAGTCAACAAAACAAGTTTGATGCTTGATCCCATGCTAAATATGTTATATGGCACTTAATTTCTCACTTATATCTCACAACCCAGTGAGGTTGGTAATATTGTCCTCATTTTACAGATGAAGAAAGGCCCAAAAATATTAGGTAACTTGCCTAAGTTCACATGGCCGGGAGGCCCAGATTCAGACCCAGGTCTGACTCTAAGCCCATGCCCTTCACTAGCACGCTGCCATTTTCTATCTTTTTGGACAATTTAACCTTACCCTGGCTTGGGAATCCCAGTGACACTGATGTTAAGGGTCTTCTTACCTGTGTAACCTTAGGAAAGTCATTCGGCTTCCCTAAGCTTTCATTATTATGAAATATAGAAACAAAACTCATACATACCATTTAAAGAAGAATAAAATGAACACCATGAACTTACAGTGACCCAGCTTGAGTAATGGAGCTTCAGTTTTGTATCTGTATAATAGAATTTTAGACTGGAGACTCTGAGTTTAAGTCAAAGAGCAACCTCTGTAACTGCAGGAATTAAAGGACAAGGATAGCCTTGGTGTCAGCCTTTTTGCCACATCCAAAATGCCACTTCAGAGATGGCTGATTACCAGCAAGAACCACCCCCCAGCCCCCCCACCACCCACACTCTTTACACACATATGCTCTCCTGCCTTTGCTAACACTCAGCACCAGCCCCACAGCCACAAAGCTTGCCCAGCAGGGAAGGCCTGGTCTGCTAGCGCAGTAAGGGACTGGTTTGCCACAGTGGATGGGAAATGGACCCCACCCCACCCCTAACCTATTCCCTGATAGAAACCATGGAGTTTCCAGTCTCCAACCGAGTGCTTCCTTTCTGACTCTAATTCAGTAAAGTCATCCATTGAGCTCCTACCTGTTCTTTATGAGACACTGAGTGGGGAGGGGCAGAAGCTGCAGTCTTTTTGAGGAAGCATGAAGCAGGATGTGTCAGTCTGGTACTGGAGGAGTTCAGTGAAAGAAGGAATCTCTGGACGTCTGTGGTGCTTCACCAAGGAGAAAGCCTTGTATAGGAGAGTTGGAGAGTTTGGGGCAGGTACAGGGAAGTGGTAGTCTAAGCTGAGGGGGCTTACAAAGTCCAACTAGCAAAGGGCATGGGACAGCATGTGTAAGGGGCGGTGACCTAAACCCACTCTTCTGTATTCTCTCACAGGAGAAGGAAGTACAAGAAGGGTGAGTGGGTTGACTCAGAAATAGAACTTCAGAATTTAAAACCTTAAGCTGGATTCGGAAGATTGGCCTTGGGGCCATAAAGCAGCAAAGCATGGATGTTAAGGGCATTGGTTCTGGAGTTCAGACAGCTCTGGGTTCAAATCCCAACTGGATTTATAAGTTAAGCCATGTAACTTCAGAAAGGTTACTAATCTTCTCTAAGCCTTTGGTCTGCTATAAACAGGATAATTGTTTCATGATAGAGCCTCAATCGGAGAAGAAATTTAAGTAGAGCCCTGCTTTGGGGAAATGATAATAGAGGTAACATTCTCTGAGCACTTTCTGTGTGTTTAGATCTGTGCTAAGCACTTGATATGCATATTACTCAATCCTTACAAAAGCCTTATGAGATCTGTGTACTTTTTCCCATTTTTCTAGTGGTAGGAAACTGAGATCAGTCACCCACCCAGTAAATATTTCAGACAGTGTGAAATAGTCCTGTAGGAGAGGGAAGAGTAGGTGATGGGCCTGACAGGTGCAATAGAGTTGCTGGGTAGATGGTCCCAGGGCCCATTGAGGTTGTGATTGTAGATTTTAAGTGAGACCATCAACCTGTTGTATTTTTGTTCAGCCACATTCAGTTGCTCAGGTGCAGGAACAGAGCAGATGGGGAGTTGAGTCTAATTGGGTTCAAGTTTAGCCAGGTAAAATCAGTAGATGAAAAGAAAGTCTGGCTGGGCACAGTGGCTCACGCCTGTAACTGCAGTACTGAAGGGAGGCTGAGACAGGTGGATCGCTTGAACCCAGGAGTTCAAGTCCAGCCCTGGCATTGTGGTGAAACCCCTATCTACAGAAAATACAAAAAATTAGCCAGATGTGGTGGCACATGCCTGTAGTCCCAGCTACTCAGGAGGCTGAAATGGGAGGATCACCTGAGTGGGGAGATTGAAGCTGCAGTGAGTTCAGTGAGTTGAGATCGCTCCATTGCACTCCCAGCCTGGGTGACAGAGTTGAGACCTTGTCTCAAAAAAAACAAAGGAGGCTGGGCACGGTGGCTCACACCTGTAATCCCAGCAGTTTGGGAGGCCAAGGCAGGCGGATCACGAGGTCAGGAGATCAAGACCATCCTGGCCAACATGGTAAAACCCCATCTCTACTAAAAATACAAAAATTAGCTGGACGTGGTGGCGTGCACCTGTATTCCCAGCTACTCAGGAGGCTGAGGCAAGAGAATCACTTGAACCAGGGAGTCAGCGGTTGCAGTGAGTCGAGATCGTGCCACTGTACTCCAGCCTGGCAACAGAGTGAGACTTTGTCTCCAAAAAAAAAAAAAAAAGGAAAGAAAAAGTATATGCAAGAAGGGATCAGAATGATGGCTCATGGAATCTGAGCTGAGTAAGGGGGAAAGTGAGGGACAGTGAAACAGTTGGAGAGTTACAAATTATAGGTTTCATTTGGAATTGGGCTACAAAGAGGGTGATCAGAAAAGATTAGTAGTTATTGAAGACTGTATGGAATTGAAATTATAGGAGAGGTAAACATAAGGTCTGAACCACTCTTATGTGCTGCTTCTGCCGCACTCAGGGCCTATGAAAGGAGGGGCTGGGGATGTACTACAGAAGACCCACCAGAAACAACTGTAGTCAGGTGGAAGGAAGCCAGAGTCTTGGACTAGGCTGGGACAGTGGGAACATGTAGAGGGAATAAATCTTAAAAGGAAGAATGGGAGCTTGGAGACAAAGTGACTCCTGTTTCCTCTTGGGGCCACATCTTAGGGTAGACATAAAGTTTGGTTTCTAGGTACAGTAGAATTTCTTGGGATGCCGTAGCCAAAGGGTCTTACTGGGTCCCAGGGTGATCCCTGTCATTGAGCAGCTGCTTCTCACCTGCAGTTTGTCACAGGATTACTCTGTTTTGAGAGACTGGACTTCTTTCTGCAGGGGAGGGGAGGGGAGATTGGGGCAGGCCTGTGGCCTGGAAAGAGCCTGGAAGTTAATACCTCACTTCATGACTGACTGTATGACTTAAGAGCAGTATTTTTGCCTCTGTTTCTTAACTAGGGAAGCAGAGAGTCAATTAAATAGAATAAAATGAGCTGTGAGTGACAGCACTACCAGGTAGCAGTCACCTAAAAACTTCTGTTTTCAAAACAAAACTAGTAGAACTCCATCCTAAGGTCTTTAATTGTAGCACAGGTCTCAGCTCTCTGCCACGTGCAGGTTGTAATGGAGATCTTAGTGCTCTCCTTGTGTGACAGGATAGTGGAAGGAGAGCCCAGCTTCATGTTTCCCTGCGCCACCTGAAGCCTTCATTTTCTCATCTGTATACTGGGACTGTTGATACTCACCCGAGAGGTAGATATGGAATATTCCTTTTTTTTTCTTTCCTTTTTTTTCCTTTTTTTTTTTTTGTTTTGAGACGGAGTTTCACTCTTGTTACCCAGGCTGGAGTGCAATGGCACGATCTCGGCTCACCGCAACCTCCGCCTCCTAGGTTCAGGCAATTCTCCTGCCTCAGTCTCCTGAGTAGCTGGGAATACAGGCACACGCCACCATGCCCAGCTGAATTTTTGTATTTTTAGTAGAGACGGGGTTTCACCATGTTGACCAGGATGGTCTCGATCTCTTGACCTCGTGATCCACCCGCCTCGGCCTCCCAAAGTGCTGGGATTACAGGCTTGAGCCACCGCGCCCGGCCTTTTTTTTCTTTTTTAAAGACGGGGTTTCACCATGTTGGTCAGGCTGGTCTTGAACTCCCGACCTCAGGTGATCTGCCCACCTTGGTCTCCAAAGTGCTTGGATTACAGGCGTGAGCCACTACGCCCGGCCCAGATGTGGAATTTTCCAGAAGTGGTAGTGGATACTGTGTTCTCTACCCCTGAAAGGATCTGCCATAGCATTTAAGCCTAAAGAGACTATTTCAAGTCCCTAGAGGGCAACCTGAGGTTAGGGAAAGCTGTTATGGCCCCAGCCAAAGCTCTGAAGTGAGGAAGCAGCCAGGAGTCCGGCTAACACACAGGAAGCCTGTGGTGACAGCCAGATGAATGTCACCTAAGTGTCCTGCAGACACAGAGAGATGTAGGTGCAGAGTCAGAAGAACTGGGTCTTGGTTGCCCTGACTTGCTGAGGTGCCATGTACAAAATGACTGAACTCTGAGACAAGGCCCTTAGAAGAAAGGCAGCGCCATTCATTCATAGCCATGTGTATATATAATAGGCACTTTACATTCATACCTCTAATTCTAACACCATTGTTTCTCAAACTGCAGGCCCAGGTCTACACAGAATCACACAGGTACCTGCTTATAATGCAGCCTCACCAGCTACCACCTAGACCTGCTGAGTCTTAGTTGGCGTTGGGAGTCTTAGTTGGAGTCTTAGCAGAGTAGGAATCTGCATTCTTTTTTTCCCCCCCCACAAGACTGAGTCTTGCTCTGTCGCCCAGGCTGGAGTGCAGTGGCTCAGTCTTGGCTCACTGCAACCTCTGCCGCCCACGTTTAAGTGATTCTCCTTCCTCCGCCTCCTGAGTAGCTGGGACTACAGGCGCCCACCATCACACCCAGCTAATTTTTGTATTTTTAGTAGAGAAGGGGTTTCATCATATTGGCCAGGCTGGTCTTGAACTGCTGACCTTGTGATCCGCCCGCCTCAGCCTCCGAAACTGCTGGGATTACAAGCATGAGCCACCACACCCGGCCAGGAATCTGCATTCTAATAAGCTTCTCCAGTGGTTCTTTGCAAAGAGGGTACATTTATCCATATTTTATAAATAGACTGAAGCCACAATAATTTGCCAAGACTACACAGTAAAGGAGTAGGTATTCAACCCAGGCCCACCTGGCTCCAGAGACCATGCTCTGGCTAGAAGAGAGGATAATGCAGGATACTGTATAAGCAATGTAGGAGTGGGGCTGAGGGGTAGGTCTTGGCGCCGAGGCATCTGATGAGGAGTAGGTTGGACAAGAAGAAATGGAGATTTTTACTGGTCATGCCGTTGGAGGATCAGGGATCCACTCTTTTTAAAGGTGCTTTAAAAAAAGATTACCAAGTAATATATGTTCATTTTGGGAAAAAAATAACCAAGAAAAATCACCCCATGACCTCGTCACCTAGCGATAACTTTGCTAGCGTATTTGGGTATCTTGTTCATCTCTTCTGCATGTGTGCATGCATCTGTGGGCACATTTTAAAACTGGAAATCAGACTGTATGTGCTTTATTGGACGACTTGTGTAGTTTGCCTCAGTAATAACTTATATATACATTTTAAATATTGACTATAAGTAGTCATAGCCAAATATGAATGTTTAGAGCAGTGGCTATCAAACAGTACAAACAGCAGGCATCAGAATCATCTGGAGCAGGGGGTGGTAAACTTTTTCTGTATAGGACCAGACCGTAAAGATTTTAAGCTTTTTGGGCCATGCAGTCGAAATTACTCATCTCTGCTCTTGTAGCATGAAAGCAGGAGCAGAGAATATGTAAGCAAATGATGTGACATGGCTGGATTTGATCCATGGGCCATCATTGGCCAACCCCTGGTTTACAGAAAGGGTCTGTGACTATTTATTTGGTGCCAACTAAGAACTTGAAATACGTAAGAGAAAAAACAAAAGATCCCTGCCCTCACAGGGCTCATATTCTAACATATTAATAGACAATAAACATATTAAGTCTGGTTATATAATATGTTAGAAAGTGGTCACTGCAATGGAAAAAAGAACAATCCAGAGCCAGGCACAGTGGCTCACACCTGTAATCTCAGCACTTGGGAAGCTGAGGTGGGCAGATCAACTAAGGTCAGGAGTTCAAGGCCAGCCTGGCCAACATGGTAAAACCCTGTCTCTACTAAAAATACAAAAATTAGCCAGGCATGTTGGCACGGGCCTGTAATCCCAGCTACTCAGGAGGCTGAGGCAAGAGAATCATTTGAACCCAGGAGGTGGGGGTTGCAGTGAGCTGAGATTGTGCCCCTGCACTCCTGCCTGGGTGACAGAGTGAGATTCTATCTCAAAAAAAAAAAAAGAAAACAAAAAAAACAACTAGAGCAGGGTGAGGGTGATGATGGGTTGCCCTTTAAACTAGGATGGCCAATGTAGGCCACATCTAGAAGGTGAGATTTGAGCAGTGGTGTGAAGGAGGTGAAAAGTTGGTCTTGTGGATATCTGAGGAGATGAGTTTCTGGTACTGAGAACAGCCCATGCAAAAGCCCTAAGTTGGGAATGTGCCTGGTATGTTTCTGGAGGAATAAGATTAGTATGGGTAGGATGGAGTGAGAAGGAAGAGGTTCACTGTTTTGGGGTTTGAGGGGAAGTTTTTGTTTTGTTTTCTTTAGAGACAGGGTTTTACTCTGTCATCAGGCTGGAGTGCAGTGGCATGATCATAGCTCACTGCAACCTTGAACTCCTGGTCTCAAGCGATCATCACACCTCAGCCTCCTGAGTAGCTGGGACTCCTCAGGTGTGCACCACCACGCCTGGCTAATTTTTAAATTTTTTCTAGAGACAAGGTCACACTATGTTGCCTAGGCTGATCTGAACTCCTGACCTTAAGCGCTCCTCCCACCTTGTCCTCCCAAAGTGTTAGGATTACAGGTGTGAGCCCCTGTGCGTGGCCGGTTCACTGTTTGTTTCCTCTGGAAGATTTCTGTGACTCTCTTGGAGCCTCTGGGCCACAGTGCTTCTCCACTCTTTAATGACCTACTTTTTCTGAGGTAATAGATTAAGGCTGTTTGGTATGGATATGAAGTTCTTCTCCACCCTAACCTCTGACAGCCTACAGTGTTCTATCATGTAACTCACTATTTACTTGTCTAATTCCCTGTCAGTGGACTTTCAGATTGTTCCTAGGTTTCCATCACTATGACAGCACTGCAGTGAACACTCTCGGCTAAATTTCTGACTGAATCCAGGATTTTTCCTTAGAATAGATTCTTTCTTTTTTTTTTTCTTTCTTTCTTTATTATTATTATTTTTTTTTTGAGACGGGGTTTCACCACGTTGGCAAAGCTGGTCTCGAACTCCTGGCCTCATGATCCACCCACCTTGGCCTCCCAAACTGCTGGGATTGCAGGCGTGAGCCACTGTGCCCGGCCTAGAATAGATTCTTGACAGTGGGGGCCAAACACAGTGGCTCACACCTGTAATACTAACACTTTGGGAGGCTGAGGCGGCCCAATCACTTGTGGTCAGGAGTTCAAGACCAGCCAGGCCAACAGGATAGAACCCCATCTCTACTAAAAATACAAAAATAAGCCGGGCGTGGTGGCGCACGCCTGTAGTCCCAGCTACTCGGAAAGTTGAGGCAGGAGAATCACTTGAACCTGGAAGGCAGAGGTTGCAGTGAGCTGAGATCACACCACTGTACTCCAGCCTGGGCTATAGAATGAGACTCCATCTAAAGAAACAAAACAGAAAAGTGGGATCACTGGGCCAGAGTCAACACAGAATGTAAAGACTTGTGTATTTGTGAGACCCTTTAAAGCGTACTATCTCCCCAGCTACACCCTCTTCAGGTGTCCCTTCCCTGCCTCCTCCTGCCTTTCACACTGTGGCTTATGGTTCCAGGCTCAAGCACAGACATCAGTGAGGACTGGGAGAAAGACTTTGACTTGGACATGACCGAAGAGGAAGTGCAGATGGCACTTTCCAAAGTGGATGCCTCTGGGGAGGTGAGTGGGCCTGGTGGGTCAGAGGGAAGTGGGCCTAGTGGTACTGGGTGTGAGAACCGTCCCCAGCCAGCCCAGCTGTCCGTTCAGGAGGGTCCTTGCTCCTGTCTGAGGTGGCATGTTGTGGGAAAGAAGCTGGAGCTTCCTGCTTAGTCCCACAACAGTGGTCATCAGCAGGCTCCACTTCCTCTCAGTTCCAGGGTAATAAGAGGGGAGGGTTCTTGACCTGAGCTCTGTATCAAAATTGCCTGAGAAACTGCTTAAGAAAACAGATGACATGCTGGGCACAGTGGCTCGCGCCTGTAATCCCAGCACTTTGGGAGGCTAAGGTGGGAGGATCGCTTGAGGCCAGGAGTTCAACACCAGCCTGGCCAATATAGTGAGACCTCATTTCTATCTTTGAAAAAAAAAAAAAAAAAGAGAGAAGGCCGGGCGCGGTGGCTCAAGTCTGTAATCCCAGCACTTTGGGAGGCCGAGGCAGGTGGATCACGAGGTCAAGAGATCGAGACCATCCTGGTCAACATGGTGAAGCCCCGTCTCTACTAAAACTACAAAAAATTAGCTGGGCATGGTGGCACGTGCCTGTAATCCCAACTACTCAGGAGGCTGAGGCAGGAGAATTGCCTGAACCCAGGAGGCGGAGGTTGCGGTGAGCCGAGATCGCACCATTGCACTCCAGCCTGGGTAACAAGAGCGAAACTCCGTCTCAAAAAAAAAAAAAAAAAAAAAAAAGAGAGAACATAGTTATTAAACCCTGCCAGACCTTCTGACTTGTGGTCCCCAGATGTGAGGCCTGAGCATATACTTGGCCTTGGAAACAAAAGACCATTGTGATCAAGGGCATGTTACTTAACCTGAACCTCTGGTTCCTCATCTAAAACATGGAATTGATCATTATAAAACCTGGCGTATATGCTGTAATGAGGTGATGCATGTAGGCACCTTATGGCTAGTGCCTGAGACATGGTGGCACTCAGGAGACATTCGTGATAAATGCCACAAAATCCATTACAGTTATTAAGCTCAAAAAGGCCTTATTACTGTTATTCTTTACTACCTCTCAGAATCAAAAGTGGCTCATTTAGATTGAGAGTGCAACAGTCCAAAGCTCTCCCAGCTAATAAGTGACAACTATGGCTGCAGCCCAGCCATCTGATTCATGTCAGCATTACTTCCACTGTCACACAAAAACCAAGTGAGTCCTTCCATCATGTAACTCATGAACCTAAGCTAGAAAGAGGTGGACAGATTAAAGACATGTGAAGGGCCTCATTTTTCATGAAGCGAAACTGAAGCCTTGGGGGATTATTTTACCTACTCAGGAGTATTTTGGACTTGTGACTACCTCACTATACCCAGGACAGAGAAGGTCCATAGTGCCTGTCAGGCCACAGGGGCTTGCTGGCTTTTTGTGTCTTTGCAGCCCCCTTTGAAACCTGACATGCAGTACCCCTGAACGCTTTAGAACCTGCTTTAGCAGGGCTCAGCTGACAGCAGGCCCAGAGTAGGAACAAAGCAAGAACAGGTTCCTTTGCTTGGGGAGACTTGAGCTGGGAATTAGGGGCTTGGCGCCCCTAGTGAAGACCTTGTAAGCACCCGTAGTCCACTGCCGCCTCTGCTTTTGACCACAGTGCCACTTAGACAGTGGCCCCCATTCACCCAGAGGTTAAGTAACTTGCCCTGGATCACACTGGTCTTTTGTGTTCAAGGCCAAGTATCTGCTCAGGCCTCCTGAGTTCTCTGCGTCTCAGAGCCATGGCATTCTCTGCTCAGTAGGAGGCAAGTTCTCCTTAAGGGACTGGGACTGACTTGGTTCCTGTAGACAGCCATCACCTTGTGGTGTTTGGTGTTGGTTGGTGGAAGCATTTCTTTAGGTCTGAAATAATCAGAGCAAGCCCACCCCTCAGATACATTCCTTAAGACTAGGGGTTCACTCTCAGTGGGGACAGAGTATGGCCTAGGTGGGGGATGGGAGGCAGCTCTGCTCAGCAAGGGGAGGTTAGGTCTGGGCCTGACTCAGGAATAACTGTGTGTTTGTGATTTCCATCATCCCCTCCCATTTGCAGCTGGAAGATGTAGAGTGGGAGGACTGGGAATGAGGGGAACTGGAGGGAGCAACTCCCCACCCATGGCATCTCTCACCTCTCTCGTCTCAGCCCAGCCCTGGAAGACTCTGACTGAGAATGTCCCCCCAAATCTCCTCTGCCAACCAGAGCTCTGGGCACAGATTCTGGTGGCTCCCTGCTGGCCCTCTGGGCCTCTGCTCACACCTGGGAAGGGGCTCTATAAATCCCAGCCAGGAACTCTGACTTGTGCCAACAATAGGATGACCCAAGAGAGAGGAAACCTATCCCCTTCACCAGAAGAGCCAACGTTTTTCTGCTGAATACCCACTGTTCCTGGACACTCCTGCTGGGAAGTCCTAAAGGATAGTTCTAGCCCTTCTGCCTGTGTAGACAGAAGCAAAACCACCAGTCTCTCAGAGGAAGCCGAGACCACACACTCTGTCCACCCATAAGCAGGCAGGGAGGGCCCTGCCACCTGCCCTTGGCTAAACAGGGACAGCGAACACATTTTGGTTCCTATCCCAGTGGGCAAGAGGCTCTTATCTCTGGGAAATTTGCCTCTCTTGGGAATCTCCCCCTCCCAGGCATTTTCCATTCCTGGAAAGACTCCTTTGGGGTCCAGAATCCAGAGACCAAACCCTGACCCACCTCCTTCCTTTCCTCCAGCCCACGCTGGTCTGTCCCCATGCCTTCCCAGGGCTTCTTCATGTCAGATGCACCCAAGTCCTTAGCCCAGCTGTGCCACCTGCAGGAGTTCGCTCTTGCGTTTCTTCCCCTCCCCAAGAAGGGAGGGGGCCACTTCAGGCCCTTCTGTGTGTTGCCTGGCAGGATACCTTGTCCAACCAGCTACCCACCTCAACTCCCCTGTAGCTTAGGACACAAAACAGCTACCAGTGGTACAGAGCGGTGATCAGAGCCGAGTACTTACAACTCTGGTAAGCCTAGCTTCTCTGCCTTGGCCCTTCTGCGTCTGGAAGGGCTATCCTGGGGCTGAACTTGAAACTCTCATCAGGCTTCTGCAAAAGCTCTTCTTCCTGAAGACAGACCCAGCCTTTGCGCTCTCACCCTCCACTCTGGTAAAGCTGCACCTCTGGGGGAATGAGGGGCTGCAGGAATCTCTGGAGAGCCTGGTGCTTCACGATGCTGCTCTGGTGATTCTTGTACCTAATCTGGTGTGCTCACCAGTGAGTGAAATGGATCATGGTCAGGGATACCAAGAGTGGGGTCACTTCCACTTCAAACCATCAGTGAGGGGTGGGATGGAGAGAATGCTGAACCTTGTTTTTGATGGGATGGGTTTTTCTCTTTGTAATTATTCCTTTAGTTTAATTAACCTTTTGGTTGTTTGTGCAATATTATATATTTTAAATTATAATGCATCTCCCCAGAGTATTTTGTAGCTGGGAAAACAACAACAACAACAACAACAACAAAAAAAAAAAACAGAAAAGAAAAAAAGATTCTAACAGCTGTTAGTTTTATAATTAAAAAAGAAAGAAAAAAGAACTTTGTCCTGAACCTTTTACAGACTTGCCGTTAACAGCATTAAAGTGATTCAGCTGAAGCTGGAAGGTGTCTGGGGGTCTGTTTTTGTCCCCTTGGCAGCTGCACTGGGCCAGGGCAGGACTGGCTTCCCACTTGGAGCCAGAGGCAGGGTAGGGGGATAGCCTGGGTCCAGATGAGGTCCCTTGTCCTCATCCCAGATTCAGCTTTGCCTTTGGGATGAAAAAGGGGCAGGACTCCCAGCAGGCCTCTCACCAGGACAAGGAGTCGAGAGGCCATCTCTGCATTCCCAATGCCTCTGCTTTTATTTGGAAAGGAAGTTGCAACAACGGTGGTTTCAGTTGCTCTTGGTCGTTTTTCTCCTTTCCTCCCCCTGTGTGTATTTGATTCTGGGGTCTTTTTAAATTAACTTTAGTATGAAAAATCACTTGTCAGGCGAGGTGCGGTGGCTCACGCCTGTAATCCCAGCACTTTGGGAGGCCAAGGCAGGTGGATCACTTAAGGTCAGGAGTTCAAGACCAGCCTGGCCAACATAGTGAAACCCCGTCTCTACTAAAAATACAAAAATAGCCTGACGTGGTGGTAGGCACCCAGCTACTGGAGAGGCTGAGGTAGGAGAATCGCTTGAACCTGGGAGGAGGAGTTGCAGTAAGCTGAAATCGTGCCACTGTATTCCAGCCTAGGTGACAGAGCAAGACTGTGTCTCAGAGGGGAAGAAAAAAGGAAGTCTGAATGAGGCCCTCGGGTTCCATGAAGATCTCTACATGGAAAGAGTAGTAAGGCTGGGGAGGAGGTATGTAAGTTTTAGGATGAGTAAACTTAAAGCGTAAAATATATATCACCATTTTAGAAGCGGGTTTTTGAGTTTGCTTTCTCCCCCTACTTTATTGGGGAGCACTTGCCATTGCTTTTATCAAGTGCTTGCTAGCCATGGATGCCAACTAACTTCTTCAATTGAAGGCCGGAGGATCATGTCGGGTTCCAGGAGCCTCTTCAGCAGGTCCTGGCATTCGGCCGAGATGCTCAGATGAGTGGGGAAGGACACCCCCTTCTGCTGTTCCCACAGCATCTTGGGGATGTCTGTGTCGTCAAAAGGTAGGCTGGCACAGAGCATGACATATAGAACCACACCCATGCTCCAGACGTCACCTTTCTTGCTATCGTGGGGAATGCCCTGCAGCACCTCGGGGGCGGCATAGGCTGTGCTGCCACAGAAGGTCTGGCTCAGCTCCCGGTGCGACTTGGGCAACACCTTGGCAAAGCCAAAGTCAGTCAGCTTCAGGTTGAAGCCCTGCAACAGGGCGTTCTCGCATTTGAGGTCCCGGTGGGCCACACCACAGCCATGGCAGTAGCGGATGGCCTCGACCATCTGACAGAAGAGGGCCTTGGCCCGGCTCTCAGGCAGTGGTCCCCCATTCAGCACGCAGTCAAAGACATCCCCTCCCTCGGCCAGTTCCATTACCAGGTAGATTTTCCCATCGGCAGACTCCAGCATCTCATACACCTGGACGATGTTCTTGTGGTCCAGGGTACGGACTATTTGGAGCTCCCGAGGCAGGAATCTCTGGATAAACTCTGAGGAAGTAAGGGGAGTAGAGATGGGCTGGAGGGTCAGAAAGGCCTACCTCCTCACACCTGTCTCCTGCTTTCCAACTTCTGTCCTGCCCACCTTGTCTGGGTCTTATTTCTTGGCTCCCTTAATGGTCTTAAATGTGTCTAGCTGCTTGGATATTGCAAAGAATGTTCACTTCTGTTATTTTTGTCGCTAACCTGTCTTTCAAAGGAACCACTCCCCACCAACTTGTGGACTGTTGTGAGCAGTCTGTGACTGGATATCAAGGTGCTTTGGGGACTTTCAGACAAAGCCACAGAATCTCAAGTTATAAGGCCTGATTGCCCAAAGGGTGATGAGCCAGCTTCTCCCACCACTGTCCCCTGACCACAATTTTTTCCATGAGCCCTGTCTTTTCCCCATCTCCATCAGCCTTGGCACCAGCTCCTGTTCTCTGCTAGTCCTGGCTGTGGCCTCAGGCAGTCTCTGTCTCAGAGACTGTTTCCCGGCCAGAAGGGAAAGCCCGGCTCGGGTTTTGCCTCTGAGGATCCTTCACCTCATGCCACTTTAATCTTATATTTTGGGGGATGTAATGTTCCTGGACTCCTAGAACCCCTCTGTTCCCCACTGACCCACTCCAGAGCTGCCACGGGGCTTGCTTAGTTCCAGACCAGTGGGAGCAGGGAATGATCGAATGATCTAACTGGGGGAAGCACCCACCCGCCTCAGCCAGCCTGCCCTCCCGCCAAAGGGGCCCTGGCTCACCTTCTGGCCCTCCCATCTTGTCTATAATTTTAATTGCCACTTTTCTTTGGTGTTTTTTGGAAAATGCTTCTTTGACTTTTGAGTAGGTCCCTTCCCCAATGGTCTTGCCCAGCTGGTATCCATTGGAGAGCAGAAAGTCCTCCATGCTGTCTAGCGCCTCCTTCCTATCACCCTCTCAGCTCATGCTGCCTCTGCGAGGCAGCTCTACGCCACCATCGCCCTTGGCCTGCTCCTTTTCTCCCCAAGCACTTCATCCGCAGCCGCCCCCCGGCGTTAGAACATTCTCTGTCTGGACACAGCCGCGGGTGGTGGGGAGGGAGAGGGCCAGACATTTTAAGACTCTGGTGCAATTGTGATGTAAATGCTGTGTGACCCTTGGCCAAAATGGGTAGTGCCCCTATCTGCTCTCATTACCACCACCAAACCCAGCCCGGGTTAAGTCACCGCCGCGCCCACTCCCGCGCCAGGCACTGGGTCATAGCTCCCCCTTGGAGGGCGTTCCGCGGCGTCTGTGTGGGCCGGGGATACCCGTATCGTAGCCGTGGACGCCGTCTTGCGGCGGGTTGCCCTGGCCTCCTGCGCCGCACTAGGTTAGCTGGGGTCGGCGCGACCCCGTCTCCAGGCGCCACGGCCAAAGCCCTCCAGTTCCCGGCTCCAACCTGCGCTAAGTGCCTGGGGCAGCCGGGGGCGCCGTTGGGGATTCCCCAGCTGGAGGAACGGGCTCTGTGAGGTCAGCGCGTCGTGGCCTGGGTCACAATGCTGCCCTCCTCGATGCCAGCGCCCAGGCGCGCCACAGACACCTGCCCGGCTCCGCTTGGACCGGAGCGTTCTCCAGTGGCCAGGGCTCGGGCAGCTGCTTCCAGCCTGGGACCGGCCTCGGCCTCCGGCAGGTGAGCGACGGCCCAGGGGGCGGGCGCGAGGCGGGGGCGCCCGGCGGCCCGGGAGAGGCCTGACCGCCACTCCCCGCGCAGAGCGCCCCGGGGCCTGGACATGAGCGCCCAGGAGCCCCCGCAGGGTCGGAGATTCCCCATTGAGGCCGGAGACTCCAGTGGCCTTGCCGCCGCCCCCGAGTCCCAGGACAGCCCGGAGGCGGTAGCGACGGAGCACAACCCGGTCAGGTGAGGCCCGCCCCGCGGCCCCGCCCTCTGTCCCACTTGGCGCCCCTAGCGGCAAGGTCCGCACATCCACGTCCCGGTCCCCAGGGGACCCCAGGTGAACTACCTGGATGCGCCCCCACGGCCTCAACGCCCCCCTGTCATGCCCCGCTTTCCCCAGGCCGCTTCGACGTTGCCCCGGCTGCCACTGCCTGACGCTGCTGCACGTGCCCATCGACGTCTACCTGGCCATGGGCGGGAGCCCCCGGGCTCGCGCCACGTGAGCGCATTGCGGCTCCACGGGAGCCGGGCGGGAACGAGGCCCGCCGCGGGCCACCACGCTGAGGTCGCACGCGCCGAGCACGAGACAATGATGCACATTTTAAAATAAAAGAATGATGCACATTTTAATAAAGCACAGCATAAACTGTTCTTTCCACTTCGGGCTGGCAGTGTATGTCTATCCGTCGGGTCCACCAGCTGCTCTGCCCAGTAACACTTTCCCTTCTGCGGCCTCCTCACTTGGACCCAGCCCTAGAGGCCGGCCCTTCCACCTTTCAGCCTGCGCCACTTCCCTCCTCCCACTTCTTGCTGGTCCTGACCCTCCCTGGGCAGCCTTTACCCTGGGGCCCTGCCCTTGTCCATCTCTCTAACCCCTTCTCCGGTGAATTCACATCATTGTGGGGGATGCCGGCAACCCACAGAGGCGGGGAACAGGAGCGGGGAGGAGAGGTGGGCCGACAAGTAACATAGAATACAGCCAATGGCCACCCATACCAGGCGTTTTTTTTGAGATGAAGTCTCACTCTGTCGCCCAAGATGGAGTGCAGAGGCGTGATCTCGGCTCTCTGCCTCCCAGGTTCAAGCGATTCTTCTACCTCTGCCTCCCCAGTAGCTGGGACCACAGGTGCCCGACCAGGCCTGCTTTAATCCTCTCCAGCGAGAAGGTTCTGTAACATGCTCTTTGCGACCCTGGGCGCCTGGGGCCTTCCTTGTTGGAGGGGTTTGGAGCTGCCCCAGTCCATTCTGAGCCTTGGTTTCTCCTACGACCGAAGGGATCACAAAAAGTTTGGGGAAGAGGCCATTTGAAAAACGGAGGTTTAACTTCCTGTTTTACAGATGAGTGAAATGAGCCTTTTTGAGACTTGCCCAAGGTCCCCCGATGAGAGGTGACACTACCACACTCCGAAGCATCTTCAGACCACATGCCCTAAGATCCACCCTCCAGGGGCCCATGACAGGAACCCTACCCAGAAGTGCTAGTATTTAAGCTAAGCAACTATTTTCTACTTTCCATTTTGCTTTAATGAGCCCGTATATTCTACTTGACAATTTTGCTTTTATGGGGGGAGTGTAACCTAAAGGTCAGGTTCAGTCTCCTGTCCCCTGACATCTAAGGAGAATTGATTCAACACCCTCCTCTAATCTTCATGTGGTAGAGAAGTCCAACCTCTCCCTAGAGCACCTTAGAATTCCACAGTCACCCAGAAGGGATACCCTTCTGTTTCTACATAAAATGCTCTCCCAGGCAGTCCCCATGTAGGAGGCTTACTAAAAGGGCCTGTTTCCTCACTGGTTTTTAAAACAGCAGGGGGAGGGGGAAGGGGGCATCAGCTGGTCTCTTTGGACTCTGCCAGCCCCCCAAA